GGCTGAGAGCTTACTCCTTTGCTTGCTTGCTCGGTAGGCTGGATGGTAAAAACTCGAACGTTTAAGAGAGTTCTTCTCGACGGCGCGCCCGGTGAGATGAAAAGAGACATGGCAAATACGTATCTTCGGCGAGGCGGTGGTGCAGCTGTTCTTGCTGACGTCTGAGACGTGTTCGTGCCTGGCTCGTCGGACTTAATTCAGCCCTCTGAATCGCGACGTGATTATGGGTTCTTCCGGCTTGAGAATGAAAGAGAGAATATTAATGGACCGCCGGCACTACTCTAAATCGGATTCGCGACCCGCGATTAGCTGAACACCCGAGTGAACTTCTCGAAGGACGGCCTTGCGCGATTCATTTATCCTTCGAAAGTATCGCAAAAGATATATCACCTCGAGATGAGCCTAAATGAGCAGGGAGAGTCTGATGTTCCAGAAAACGGAAGCTGAGCGCAAGAATATCAGCTGGAATCGGCAATGGCAGCTGCTTTTGAAAACATCACATATTAACAGCGGGGAGTTTCCTATCGAAGAGGAACGCCGGAAAGGAGGAACTTTTTCTGAATCCAGGGAAAAAGTCGCCCTTGTTCGTCGGCGGGGCTATTCTTTCTCGGGGATGAGATGTCTCTGGAGCAATCAGCTGAAAGCGCGGAGTTCGTCCGATTCGTTCCGTTCGACACTTTAAAAAAGCGCAGATCTGCCGAGACGGTGATAGAAAGCGAGACAAAGGGGGGGGGAGATACAGTGCGCGAGATCGGGTCAGACTCCTGGAGGGGTACGGTCGAAGGTCGGCTGAGCTCTTCCGCTGTTCCGATTCGTTCCCAGTGCATGAGGGTGAAGTGCTGGCGGCCTCCAGGCCGAGAGAGGGCGGCTTGGCGGCGGAAATAACTTCCGCCCCCACTGAGAAGAAGACGAGCGGAAGCTTCGTCCGCGCGCTCGAGCTGAGCCGAAAATTAGATGAATGCAGAAGACGAGGAGCTCAATCTGATTCCGAACGAACTCGTTCGCTCCCTGTCTTCTGCCGAGTCCTTTGCCCCGTTGCCGTCGCAAGCTCGACGCTCTCTCGGGCTTTCCTTTCTCCCCTTTTGCGCTTTCCTCGTATCTATCTCCCGAGGACATTCGTACCTCCGAGAAAGAAATCCGCGAGAGGGTCGATTAATAACGTCGATGTACTGCGACAAATCGGAGCCCGGCTTAGTTTCGGCTTGCCAAGCTTGTAGGACCTCAAGCCAGAGCTACGATTCCTTCGCCGTTTTTAATATTGTTCCAAAGAGAATCTCTCCCTCTCCCCATCAGAACAAAGGAAGGCTATAAGGTCAGTCCCTCGTACCTCAAGCATCGAGGTTTGAGATATTCCTTCGGATAACGACCGTCTCGCATTACTCCAATGGGGAGACTGGAACTCTCCGATGGACGCTGAGAAAAGAGGCGCTTCGGCGGAGCCTCTGGTCACCTTGCGATGGTCCACACTGCATCGATGTTTCCTCTGCTCCGGAATGTCATCGAATCGTCGATCGGAGACGGGGAACCGTGGTCCGCGAATATACGTTAGCTCTGATTCCGATCGAACTCTCATTCTGCGAGCCCATTACCGTCTATCCGGAAAATTCGCCAGCGCAGCGCTCGCACGCCGGTTGGCGATATCACTAAATGACGAGGTGGTAGGTTGTTCAGAGCGTCGCTTGAAGGTGCTCACAAGGAACGCTGTGTGGGACCGTAGGCCCTCCAGGCTTCTTCGGTTGACTGCAGACTCTCATAGCACGGCTCCAGAGCAGACTCAGGGGACTCAGGGTTTGATGCATTTCCTATACTCCGGAGTTTCGTTCAAGTGCCCAGGTCACTCGAATTTGGAAGAGGTTGACCGTCTAGAGAGGAAGACCCGCGGTCGAGATTAGGCCTGTAATTAACGAGAAACCCGTGCTCATGACCTGAAGCTATCAGAACTACCAGCCCACTAGAAAATTGAAGGTCTCAAGACTCGGCGTCATCCCTGCCTCGGAGACGGGTGTTTTTTGAAGTGACCGGTATAGACTCCGCGCAATATGAATTGATTTCCTTTGAGAGCTCTCGGAGATATTCCGGAATCCTGTGCGGGGAACCTGTGACTCCTCGATCGGGCTTGCGCAAGTATAGGGTTGTTGAGTCTCGTATTTAGTGAAATTCCCCTACGAGATTCGAACAGCTCCTTCACGGCAGTGACTGAGAGGCATTTAGCCTTAGCATTTATTTTTATTTCGAGTTGAAACTCCAATGAGTTCAGAAATTCTGCCTGCACCGCGTTACAGGAGGATTCTACCCTTCCACTGGAGTACTTGTAGTCTCACTGGAATCGCTAGTCAGAGCTCGTTCCCGAGGATGCTCTCCCCGGATAATGGGTCGATGAACTGATATGTACGCGGACTCGATGTATTCAGAGAGACCCAACAATGGGAGCTTCATGCTTCATTCCGGAATTCGAGAAGTCCCCTGAGACCGGGACCTCTTCCACTTCACGCGTCGCAATCGCGACAAGTGAGCATCAATGTAGACAGGGAAGTTCACCTCGACCTCCGGGAGCCTTTCTTTTGAACTCTTCCATATCGAAGATGAACAAACTTTTCGCCAACGAAATCAGTGAACCTTCTCTAGGCCACCGCCGGCGGATCCTTTCTCGGTAGAGTTCTATCACACCACGAATTCTCGATGTCTAGAGACGCCGAAATTCTGCTGTTTCCGGCTCGAGGCTGAAGGAGATGGTTCATTCTCGCCTGCGTCGCGACAGGGGTACGGGTATCATCTCCATGCTGTGCAGTCTCCTGATATGAGCGCTCCACGGCGTTCGCCTGTGGCTGCTCGGGAATTCCGTGTATTTGATGATGGCATCCCGATTCCCCGTATGAAATCTCGTCGCTGACAAATCCGAGGCGTCAATAGTCCTGGAGGAAGGCAGCGACGCGTTCAAACTCCACCCCGAATGAATTACGAATTGGATGAATAATGGATCCGAGATTCTGCGCCTCGTTACGTGGGTCACCTCGGAGCCGAGCATCGCCGCGAGTGCCCACAATACGGGGCTAGAGGGCCTCCGGAAATACCATGCGGAGTCATAAAGTCCCCCACGAGCTCAGCTCGGGGCGGGAAAACAGGGACCTCCCTCCTTGCCGAGGATCCGGTCCCAAAGGGGCTGGAGTTCAGGCAAGATTCCTCAAGTCGTGATCCGTAAGAAGTCACGGGTTCGATTATTGCTGGAAGGTCAATGCCGAAATTGTCATTGCAGCGATAGCTTGATGCACCGCTCCCTCGGTAGCCTATGTAAACGGAAATACCGTCAGATCGCAAAATTCTGGGCCGTAACTTTTACTTCTAGGTGATATGTTGTAGGTTTCCGCGAGGAGCGATGTATTGTCTCCTTCGGATGAGAGAAGAAGTCCGTCAGGCTTCGATATCGTCGCTTGACCTGAAGCGCGGGCGGTCCTATCGCATTAAGCATTTTCGGACTGAGTTTTCATCGCCACTGTCCCGAATTCTTTTAATCGGCTCCATCAGGAATGTCACTCAATTTTAAACCCAATCCTTTCAATCCATCATCGGGCGAGTCCATTCCCCTGGTGCGGCCTGTGGCGAGCCGCGAGCATCCTGAACTTCTGAGGGGTCGACCGAACTCCAACCGTCAAGCAGAGTTTATTCCAACCCACTTCGATGCCGAAAATTTCGGAGGGAAGATCAGCTTTCCGTTCGAATCAGGTAGTAGTCGTAGTCATAAATTTGAATCAACTCTATTAAGGCAGCCTTGGCAAGCTACTTCTCGGCTTTGTCGAGTCTCATGAATTAGTCAGGACCAATCTTAATTTAGATGACGGATTATGGAAACGAGATACATGCGTCGCCCGCTATAACAACTGAGCGAGTACATTGTTGCTTTCCTGGTGGAGGGATTTCCACTGAATTTTAGCCCATTATGAAAAAGTAGGAAGACGGTTTCTGCTTTCCACGATTCGCTTGGAGGATGGGAAAGCCTTCCAGGCGCGAACGTGTTCTATGTGTCGCAAACATAAAGACGAGCCAGCTGTCGGTCGTCTACGCGGAGCCTGCCATAGGCGGGTGACGAGCTCAGCGCACACGATCGTTCTCAATTGGGGAGAATGGTTTTTATATGCAAGGGCTCTCAATACATTCCTGCTATTATCATTCGGTGCGGTCGAAGCTTACTCATTGATTTATTCGCCCTGATGTATGCGCACTCGAATCTGCCATTGAGTTTCGACAAGGCAGAGTCGTGTAACGTCGTCCCCGTGCTTGAAGTCAGATTCCATTATTCAAGCTCCATCCGACGAAGAGCAGCAAATCGACTTGGCTTTTCTCTTCGCAATTTTCTGTGATCCGAAGAGGGGAATGCCGATATCCCGTTCAGAGCTATGGAGGGAGTTACAGATCCTATCTCGACCGAGCTTGTGAGCAAGCGCTTGGCAGTTTTTCCCGGTCAGATTCGGGAGAGCACCATTTGAGTTGCATTTCCAGAACACTAGCCCGATTTGGTCTCCGCTCAATCATTCAAACATCCGAGCTCTGACAGCGCTGCAAACGGCGTGAAATGTTCAATAGAAGTAGAGCAAGAGTGGGTATTCCCTCTCTCTGAATTAGGGTCGATCATGGCATGTTTGTTTACGGCCTCACAATCAGCTCCTGGGAGAGAGCTGATTGAAAATTCACTTAATTCAGATGCCTGTGAGTTTCGAGTCGATTGAAATTTGTCCAGGTTCAGAATTTCAATATAAATCGAATGTCAAGGGCGTTCGCGGACTCGCTATCGGTGCTCCGGCTTGTAACACAGCCCGGAAGGTGAGAGACAGCTGCGAGGAATTCGGAAACTTTCCGATGTGATAATCTGAAGAGGATGTGAGCTATCTCTGCGGAACAACTATATTGAGAAAATTCGGCCGCTTAGGAATCTCGAGCTATCCGGTCTGTATCGGATTTGATTTCCTATGCTCAACGCTCCTTTCCCTTCGAATGAACATTTGCAGATGCTCCCAGCTCATCGACACTTAGTCCTAGTATTCTCGGTCGTCCTCGCATCGACCGACGTCGATGAGATCTTGAAAATTGTGGGAGAAGCCATCGACAAGGCGGCCAGTCCGGGAGACGCAGCGAGATACAAGGTGAGCGCTCTCTGGCTCGAGCTCGCTGTCCCGCGGGTACACGCACGAATATGTGGCGTCCGAGCGTCCGGAACGTTGAATACTACAAGGATGACAGCAAGATTTTCGTCCGCAGGAATCAGCCGAGAAAGTCCGACCTTGCATCGAGGGTCTGATTCCTAAACTGAATGGAACAACTCTTTCGAACGTCATGCGTGCAGTCATTCCCGTGGCGGTGGAATGTAGCGGAGAAATCAAAGGGCTTGATGATGCCGCGGTGCGGAAATCCAAATTCACTGACTGTGCCCGGAGCCGCGCGATAAGTCTCATCATGTCCGTCTCAGATTCTGAGAAAGCTGCTTTCTTCGAAGCGAAAGCCTGCGTCATGTCGTTCATGGTTGAGGTGTTGAAGCAATAAATAATCTCTGTGTGAATAAATTCAAGTGGTTTTCGCTTCTCCTGTTCCTCCCATTCGCATAGACCCGCGCCAGACGCCTATCGCGGCGAATTCATCACAGATATGATGCTTCCGCGCGACTCGAAGGACAGCCGAGCTGCGCAAACCCGATTCGAAGGTGGAGAATCGTTCCCGTGTATGAATTATTATCCCTCTCGCCTCCAGCCCGCGACACCCTCCGTATGTCGCACCAAGCCCCGCCGTATGCAACGAGGCTGGGAGCGCACATCCCGCGCAGGGCTGGAGCCCACGGGTCAAGACGAGATCTCTCGTAGAGAGTATACCTCGAGCGATGACGGGGCCAAGCAAACAAGGACGCAGTCAGACACGCAAACAGTGCAGTCGATTTCGGTATTCCATCGGGGCCGCGATACGATGTCGACGGTGATGACACCGACGACGACGTCAATGGCAACGAGAGCCTTGCGCTACTCGGACACCGAGCATAGGCCCCAGAGGGGAACGGTGGGGTCAGCAAAACAGACAGAAATACGGAGACAGCTGTCCGGAGGCCTGGTGGGAGTGAGGAGCGATCTTTGAGCAGAACTCCAGGAGGGATCCGTCGGATCGAGCTAACTGGCTGGACGGGTAAACTGACGAGAAGGAACGGACAACGGCAGCGGGTGCGGCGGAGGAAAGCGGAGGGATTTAGATACCGATGGACAATAGAAGCGGAAGGCTTTCGCTTATCTGACACCAGCACGGCGGCGCTGATCGGGCGACTGCGAGCTTCGTCTACGACCAAGCAAACGAGGGAGCGGACCATCGAAGAAAGCCATGGACAACTCGGACGACTAGTCACTCCGCGCAATCCGACAAAGCCGGAGAGGCGGAGCAAAGTTCATCTCCAGTAGTCGCTGTAAGCCTATAGCTCCTGTTAGCCTAATTTTAGCGATTCCCAATGTTTGTTCCTCCTTGTACGACGGCCAGATAAAGGCAAGGCCGTCGGAGACAACTGAATGGCCTCCAGAGACGGATGGGAGCAGCCTGCTTTGTAAAGTATTCCTTGCCCTCTCCGAATCGGTCAGGGGCGCGCATTCCTTCCCAGATTGGAACGATGGGAACACTGAGGGAAGCATCAATATATTGCTCCGTCAATTCATCTTCATTCAAGCCTCCTCCTTCACCTATTCATCGATATACGATTAAGCGGTCAGATAATGAGCTCTCCCAGTATATGACGGCGCGTATGCTTCCTCAATAGCCGTACATCGGTCCGAATAATTTTTGGAATTTCGGGTCGACTCGAGGTTGTGGTTTTGCCCCCGACGCGACGCGCGGATGAACGCCTGTTTTTCCTGTCTTGAAACTCGCGATGTTTCTCCTTCTTAGTAGTTTACAGACGGAGCCATCTGGACTCCGTCAAGAAACACACAGCGCAGAAACTCGGGAGAACACAGTCATCCAAGAGTCTGATCCGCTCTCTCGTTGTGTGGCGGACGGAAGTTATTCCCCGTTCTTCTATTGTCGTTTGACGGGTGATCCGGAGTGCGCAGTCGGGATCCTAAGCCGGCCTACCTGATCATTGATCATATTAGCTCTCCTCTCTAGAACGATGCCTGGAGGTACATGAATACATAAGTCGCATCAGTCGTTGACGGAGGATGCCTTCCGCTCCTGGGAATTCCCGGATCTATATTCTGGGACTGGAGTTTCGATTACGATAAATCGATCGTCTCTGTTGAGGAGTCCGTGGAATGGCGGCGCCAAACGAGCCATGAATTCTCAAGGATGTCGAACGCGTAACGTCATCAACGCTGAAAGGAGCTCTGGGCGGAAAGAGCCGGAGCTCGCGATTCGGAACGGGACCGAGAGGAAGACGAGAGAATGAATTCCAATCGTAAAAGTTGCAAATCTCAAGGAGCAAACGCCACAAGCTCGAATAAGAAAGAGAAGGAACGGAGCGAGTTTTAATTATTCTCGATTGAAAAGTAATAGTCTGCAATTTTGCGGAATAACTCAAAACTTTCCACCACTCACTCGAACGTTACATTTGAGAATGACGACGCAGACGGGCGGCTCGACGGTAGCAGCAGCGAATTCTGCCTTCCCCGCCGTCAGTCTCGTTCTCGTGTCGATGGTGATTGAAGATGTCAGTCGACCTTGCCTTGAAGCCGCCTAATGCGGTTTCTCGACTTCAGACGAGTAATCGCGCTCCTCTCTCGGAATTTAGCCGCGGCCAACTCGATCGGGGGTGAATGCCACGTCGTCGAGGGTGATCTTCAATTACCGCCTAACTTCAGACCCCAACAGATCCAAAGCTTCGACGGAGGTGGACGCATGATCCCGTGGACTTATAGGCAGAAGACAGTCTGGAAGGTACGCGGGTTCCAGGCTCTGGCGTCTGTCCACGACTCGAGACCTGAATCTAAGTTCAGTATTCGATAGGGGATGTCTGACCGCTTCTATCCTTTTCCAAACGCCGATTTCTTCCTTCCCCGAGAGCTCCGCTGCGTGGGTAAGGGGTAGGAAGGGGGAGGGGAGCGCAAGGAGAATGGTGCTGTCATCAGCGTACTGATCGGTAGAAAACAACAGCCACATCACATCGGTGCCGCTTTTCTGTTTTCGGTTTCCGAATCATTGAACTAGTGTGTCTACCCCGTGGAAGAAGGCTGCCCGCGCTTTCCGTCTCCGTACGTATCCTCGTCGATTGTGGCATCTTTCTGTCGCCCAAGGGTTCGTCGCTTCGGCTTCAATGGCGCGCTGCCTGGCGGACTGCCTGGCTTGCCACGGCCAATTGCTGGCCGTATGCTTGAGTGGGTGGGAAAGGGGTAGCTGGGATTTCAGCCACCGACCCGAGCTGTTGGGGAGCCTGCTCGCACGGAGGAACCATTTGCGCGAATCGCCGAATTATTCTTCCTGAAAGCGTCTCGCCCCTTCTCCCACTATTGAAACCCTTAGCGAATACGCAGATGACAGCGTTGGTGCCGCCTGAGGTACGGTCGTCAAATGTTCGAATATATTCCTTTTTAGCTCGAGAACAGGCGAACGAATGATAGCGAGAGTCAGTGACGACACAAGGACAAAAAAGAAACGTTCACCTTAGATCGTTCCGGGGAGCATATCCGTCGGACGACGCTCCGAGAGGCGAATCATTTTTCAAACTCGACCTCATGAGGCGGTTGTAAATCGTCCGCTCTCTGTTTCTTGCAGAGCCCGGCGAAGTCAAAAAGCGGCGGTATGGAGCATGTCGGAGTAGCTTTCTAATGCGACCCGCGTGTGAAGATTCTCCCGTGGACGACAGGTTTCAAAACGAAAAGAATCGAAGAACCCACGGACGAGGAGCTCGGATATGCTTCGCCTGATGGTGGGGGAGGTCGACCTAATGGAACAGGTCACGGTGGTCATGGTTCCGAAGGTACCTAGCCATGAGGGAAGGCTTCCCTGAGCAGCGATGACGATCCCGATCGGAACCCGTGAGGGACGCAAGCTTCAAAACATTCCGGTTCCGGAAATTGTATCCGTCTCGTTGCGCGATCACTATGACCGCCTGATATGGATGCCGCCTTATCTCCGAGGTTATCTGTGTAGTTAGGGGAACGGAAGCGCGCGACGATGACCGGCCGATAAGTATTTTACCGAATTATCCAGCGAGATTACGCGCGGAGCTTGCGGCCCGGAGTAGTTATTACGCGTGTTTTAATCACAACTTCTCTCTTGCGTTCTCATTGACCGATGACCATGTCCCTCGTTCGAGATCGAGCTCCTCTCGCTTTACCTCTCCGGGAATCCGAGCTCTGCTCGGGAAGATTTCAGCCCGGGAGGATTGGACCGTTCGGCTCGGATAGAAAGCTTCATTCCATCTTTCAGAGTCGATGCCCGACGGTACGATCGGACGGACGCTTCGATGAGACCGACTCCGGGGTCTAGGACCACACGCGCATTCCAGGAGGCTCGAAAACTCGAGCAGAGCACTTTTTGATGGCGATCGCCACGGAACTAGTAGAGATAAGGAGTTGATGCAGTTGGAATCCCTGATTCACCGCCTCGAACGCGCCCAATCCGATCACCCTATGACCTATGAGTTTTCGCGGAATCCTCTGGATATCCCAACAGAAGTTGCCGTCCGAGCGGTGCGGCGTCTGGGGGCGGTACGCAGTTGTACGAGCTTCCGGGACAGGGTACGGACCGCTCCCGAGGACTTCCTTATCATATTTGCGGTATGATTCATGCGACACTTACGGGAAATCGGAAATGAGAAATTTACTTCTGTTCCAAGGGCAATGCTTCCATGACAATGTTATTCGCGATGGGGTTTCTCGACCCCGACCCGACATATCGGTGCTCCTGCGCCGCCGTATGAGCACCAAGTCACTTGTTTCCAAAAGCAGCCGCACTCGGCTATCGCTCGGCTGGTATCAATGCCTCGGTGGCTCTTCCGATCGACATTTAAGATGAAACCTAATGGCGCAAGGATTTCGGCTCGCCTTGGTTGGCGCCATGAAGGGAGAACACAGCGAGGTACACCGCATTCGGGCTCTCTCGAGAATCCCAGCCCCGGGCTCGTCAGGCCCTTGGTGCGCCGAGCGGCGCCGCCGCCCGTATCCGCTCCCGTTGAACGTCACTCGATTCGCGAGCTGCCCGTTTTTTTTGCGTCGGCTGGACGACTAGGTGTGGGGTTGATGGGCGAAACCCAATAGTACCTCCCTCCGGGGCCGTTCTTTTTCCGTCTTTCTCCAGTATCGACTTCCCGAGTCGTCCTCCTCTGTTTCATTCATTTCTCATGGCGGCGCGGTCGCAGCTCTCCGCTGGAGTAGCCTTGCCTCTTCTGGCGGCTTAAAATGCAAATGACAGGAACAGCTGTCACACTCAAGCCGAAAATCACCTTTCTATCGAAAAAAAATTTCATGCCTCACTCCCTCCTCTCCCAGCCTTCTCGAATCCCTTCATACATTCACTCCAGCCGCTGACAGGCTTCGCATCCGGCTTTCGATGTCGCGCCAGGATCGATCAGGCTATCATCTCGTGGGTGAGGCTGTTCCTTCTATTATTATCGGGAAGTTCTCCCGGCGCGGCATCATGACGATTAGGTCAAACGAACGTTCAAATCTAGAAAAAGAGCCTGTAATACGGCGTCTGTGCGAGGAATGGTCGCGATGAGGTCTGCATTCCCCGCAACAACTGATTGGGAACACAATTTGGCTGGGAATCGAAGAGCTCATTCCTCAAATCATTGAGAATGGTGCGCAAAGCGCGGATTCTTGGGAGTCATCCCCTCCATGGACGAATGCAATCGATCCTCGCTTAAAATGAGGCTTATTAGCTTTTCCACGGGAAAGTCAATGAGGCAATTCTCGATGCTTGTTTTCGGTACGTTTCTCGTTTCAGACATTTACCGTCGTCATGGATTCCGTAAGTGCGTAAAAACGTCGTCGACGTCCTGACTGCTTTCGTCGGCGTCACTTTGTCCGGGATCGCTGGGAAACTTTTCCTAATTGAAGCGGGAAGCGTATCCGAAACCTATTGGAATTCAATAGCACTCAAGCATTTTTCCCTTCGGTCGCTCCAATTGCTTCCGCTTCCTGATCGCGCATTCCACGCAGTAATCTCAATATAAGAGCGGACGATCAAAACTTCGGGAGCATTAATCACGCAGAATAGGATGCTCCTGAAACGTCCTTTGAGAAAACCACTGCACTAAGTAATTGTAAGCGGAGTTCGAGCCCTGCGATCTCGTGACTCGAGGACCGAGCTTTGGGACAGAGCTGCTTGTCTTCAGTGAACTTGCGGCGTCTTGGATCGTGAAGGCCCTGCTCCTGACGCCACGGAGCTTCAGGATTAGGCGATTCGATGGGAACTGGGCGGATATGATAGCCGAGACTGATGAAAGAAGTTTCAGGAAGGACGGCTAGAGTAGCTCATGGCCCGAGACATTCCGGACAATTTGACTCCACGGAGTCCCTATGATATGACGATACATCCAGGCGGACCATGGCATTGAGCTGGAACTTGTCTAATGTATCCATGACCTCAGACCTTTTAGGAAACTGTGACGTCGTCTGTGATCTTCTGGGATTTCTTTTCCAGAAGAGAGAAGCGGCAAAAGACTCCTGACTCCTGGCTTATGGACGAATTCAGCGGAGAGGCTGCGGGGACGCGAATCCGCTCGTCCATGGGAGACCACCCCACGGCGGCAATAATTGTAGATACTCCCTCTGTGTCATTGAGCGGATGCCAAAATTCTTTCACTCCATTCCGCCTCGTATCCGTGGACGCCCGTTTCGAGGAACCGCATTCCATACACGGAGCCCAAAATCCCAGTTCTCAGATCCGGGCACACAGTATCACCTCGGTGCAGCGAACACGCTGACGTCAACACAAACTGGTCGTCAGAAGGACTTTCGTTGTAGCGAACTTGATCGACCCCCAGGTCCACGAGGCGCCGACCAGAAATCTGAAAAAAAATCGTACGTTAGCGCGGAAATTCGGTCCGGCACGCTCTATTGTAAGAAGGTCAGACTGAGTTCGTGGTCGACTACAAAACTAGAGCCCTTCATCTGCGTCTGCCACGTTCAATCTGTTGTGGGGACCGTCATCGTCCCAGATGCTGCCGCCAATTTTCTCGGAAACGTCTGAGGTGACGTCGGCGTCATATTCATTTTCTGCTTGGAACACATGAACTGTGGTGAGAAGACAGGAAGCGGCCATGTTGAACGCGATTCTGTCTTAGCCATCGATGCCGCCTTAGCAGCACAGGCGAGAGCCGCGGCAGTTCTTCAACAAGAAGCGCCCGATCAAAAGTTCGAGCAGCTGGTCTGAGAACATTGTTTCAATGGAAAGGAAACGGACGATGGGCTCAGTCATGCGTGATTCTTCTCTCACCAGAGATATGAACGGACGACGGGAATCAATGAAGTCGACCCGACGCAGTCGTCGGGGAGACATTGCTGGATTCAGAACGTGCTCGTGGGGTTGATGCTCCGATTAGGGAGAGGCGCATTGATGCTCGTAACCTCCTCCGACATAGCGGAGTAGATCACCATTCGTGTTGTATATCGTGAAATTAATATGTGTCTCGATGGCCTCGAATTCTTCTTCCGGATAGGAATGCCAGCGAATCGATGTTTCGATCTTCGTATGTCGCATAGGTTCGCGCGAGACTACCTGGAATGACGGATGCAGAGAAACCCTAGAGGAGTGCAGCCGATTCGTATCGCTGCCACGCGAGAAGATCTCGAGGTTGACATCGAGAGATTAGCGCGGACAGTTATTCGTTGGCGGACTTAGCGCACTCCGAGCCGAATCGTGACGATTCCGCTCAAGCGAGGAGTACGTAGAGCACGGGTTCCGCCATTTCCTGTGAGACGTTCCGTTCAATTTGTGCTTGGCTCTGCCCGAGCGGCAGCCGATACTGCGGGACGACTCTCCGCGACGGAATGTTCTGCTCCGGAGCTCTTCAGGGCGATTAGAAATCAGAATAATTCCATTAGTCAAAGATCACTATTGAATATTTATTTGGCTTCAGCTTTGAGCTTCATTCTTTTGTGAGAGGTTGTGTACGCTTTACATTATCCTCACGCGGGTTCAATCACGAGCAACTTGAACTGAGTGGCAGTGTTTCTCATCATATCATCAAGTATCTGAGCTTTCCAGTCATGTCTAAAAACTCCTCGTCTAGCTTACTTTGTGTCCTATCTTCGTCTCCCCCTCCAAGGGATGTTCTCCATCGATATATACAGATTATTGTACATTGAATACTGAGTCAGGACTATCTAAATTCCCGAGAATCACGATCGCTCGCTAGCGCTTTCCCTCCTTCACAGCGTCGTTATCAGTCAAAATCGACTAGTGAATGATATAACAGAGAGCTTTGGTGAAATAATGTATCGGAGTGATTGTTGAGCTCCTCAATCAGCTAGCGAATTTCGCATGCTGCGACGGTTCCTTGACGCGCCGTCGACAATTCGCGACCAATTCATCGTAGGTGGCGCGTCGGCCCAGCACGGCGCGTCGCTGCATCACAGGATGGAGTTTACAGGCTGATAGGGCATAGCAGCACGGCTTGCCTGAAATGAACATTGGGGGTCAACTGGGAATAGATCAATGATTCTTGAAGTCTTCCTCGGTCTATTAGCTTATTCGATAGTTAGGTACCAGATGCCCGATTCAGGAGCTCACCGTGAGGTTCCGTCAGCACGCCACAATGCTCGTCAGGATCGTATTCTCTATTTTTCTGCAGGGAAAACCTTCTCTTCCTGGACGGTTTCCTGCCGTTATTCGACGCTGTCTCATGGAGCTCAGCTGTAAGGAGAACCTTTGTTGAATTTCTTGCGAAGCAGCTCGTCGTGAATCGGTTCCTCAACAAATTCGAAGAATTCGAGCGGGCGTAGTTCGAAGCCTACCGGAATTACTCGCTGAGTCGAAAACCTTAAGGTGAGCATGGTTATTTGGCTGAACCCGAATATCGGGATCGTCGGCACTAGGAGTCACGTCATGTGGAAGTCTTAAAAGTGACTCCGGAGCTTTTGTCTGCGATTCTGAGTCTTCCGGATGATCAGGATATGAAATCGATCCGAGCCCAGAAGCTCCCGGGACGGCATCAGCGTACGGAGACCGAGGTATATCTTCGCTTTCCGAAGTCGCATCCTGATCCATCCCTTTCACTCTACGTCTGCATTCATCTGGATGCGCCTCCACTGCAAAAGTTATGGTACGGTCTTGGTTAGAACAAGGACAGAAGAGTTCTGCTCACCCTACCGAGAGAATAGCCACAGATCTGCCCTGATGAATGACGGGATACTCACGCATATGTTGTGCGATAAATTCAAGCCTTCGTACAGTCGGACAGAAAAGGCATCTTGACGTTACAAGTCGATCGGTTTCGGGTGCCACGCCGAATAACGCCGTATCTGTCGAGAGAAGGATTTTTCAGAACCTGAATGAATTTTGCTCTCGACTTTGATCGGGACCGTCCTACTGGGGACACCATCCATGTTTTCAAAATTCGTGCTGACGGATCAATGTTTCGATGCGGTAGAAGCTGGCTCACCTCTCGCAGGCAGGACGGTATGCTGGGAGCTTCCGGCTGCGAAAAGAAAGAGCATCCATAGTCAATTCGAATTTTGGAATGCTTCTGGATTTCCTCTTTTACATTTCCTACTGCCTGAGAGTCGAACAAGCGAGGGAATTGTGGTACGACTTCCGTCGCTCCAATAAGCTCTTCTACGGCGCTCACCTCGGTGTGGGGAGCTTCTTGCTCGATCGACAGAAGTCCAAGGGGCCCATTTATTCACCTAGGGAGAATGACAAAACGTGTGTGAAGCTCGAGTGTGCCTCTGATACCCGTCAGTGGTGCTCCGGATACGCGCGAGGCACGCTCATCATCCACTCGTGGGAATTCGGAAGTTTATAATCGTACCTCATTCGTACGCTCTCTGTCCTCGGGTTGTAGCACGATCATCACCAGCGAGCTCCAGTAGGGCCATGTTCTCAGCTCCCCGCTCGGCTCCAGCGCCGGATTCGCACACGTTCCCATGGAAAACGTCTGTACTTGGGAGTGGGTCATCGCGACGAGCCTCCGCGGAGTCGCTTTCCGAACGAGCGTAGGACTCCAAGACGAGCCGAAGCAGCGTCTACAGAGCGCAGATCGGAGCGCTCTCAATGCGATAGTAGCTGCCACATATCGATCTCGAGCTTTTCAACATCTCTACGCAGAGACTCCAGTGCTCCACTGAACCCCCTCTCGACGATTGTTCTCTGTTGTTCCTTCTCCATCCTGCATTCGTTCATTCATTCACATACTCGCTCACTCACACACGCTCACTCAGTAGAAGTGTTTTCTAAGTGTTCATTCAAAAGGCTGGATAGCTGCCTGTCTCCCCTGCTTTCCAGAATGGCCGCAAGTACAGTGGTCTCCAAACTTCGAACTCAGCTTGTACGTTCTTACAACCGTACGAAGTTCTTCTCTACCGCTGGAGCCTCCCGTCGAGAGACCCCACCATCGTACGCGACTTATGTCTTTGGGGAACAACGCGTACAAAAAGAACGCGGAGCAAAACGGGTCGCGGCCAAGTGGTGCAGATATTGTCCGATCCTTGGTGGGAACTAGCAGACGAACTCTGATGAGAGAGAGAACATCTTGAGAGGAGCCGCACAGTCGGGCTGCGAGACCAGGCGCGAGTTTTTGAATGGGAATCTTGGGAAGCTGCGTATTCGTTCATCCATCGCATCTTGCCGTCTCCTTAATGTTTCCGCGGTCGAGCGTCGGAACGCACGATTCCATTTCGCGCATTCACCGGAGAAGGCGACCTTGTTCTCGTAAAGTCCGACACGACATTGCGTGTTCCCGGTATCTCCGGGAATTTTCGCACGGAGACATCCTCCTGAGCGTCGGAGCCGTGCCATGACATTGCTCGGCGAGAACATATTTTCCGGCTCAAATCAGAGACCTCGATCCAGCATCCCCCAAGTCGGATACCGAAGAAGCGGGGATCGAAGCTGAAGTATTCTCGCCTTAAGGAATGAGCATTATGTGGCGCGCTGGGCTCTTCTCTTCAAGCGCTGGCAGCTGGGCCTATTCCTTCACATATCCGATCGTCTGCCAGATATGGTTGCTGGATTGCTATGGGATTGTGTCTACGGCGTAGACCCAGCTAGAGAGGCTCGTTGGCCTAGGGGGATTGAGGTTCAAAAACGAGAGGGAATATTCGGTTTGACGACGCGTTTTCGTTTAATCTGTTCATTTATCTGTCTCAAGCTGGATGATTTTCGTACTGGTGTGTATTATAGCAGCAAATGATTCCTCAGACTTCGGTGTACTTAAGAGGGAGAGCTGTCTAGTGAACAAGCCACATCTGATTTGGCGGATGACCCCTCACTAGGACTCTATCCTGATTCTTAATGCTTCCTTGAAATATTCTTCTGGATAGTTAGGTAGTTTGAAGGAGAATTCAACTCAAAGCACACATGAGCAAAATCGTGAAATTCACAGTGACAACGCCAAGCCCTGGATTCTCGAAGAGTGTGTTGTTGGGCATTCCATGGCAAATCGGGAGTTGGTACTTTTGGAAGGCTTGCGATTACTGCAAGCTCTTGTTGGAAGTTCCGTATGGTTCGAGACGGCCGAGGCTTCGTCGATCTATTCCATGACGGGTGGAGAAAAAGTTTTTGAGATCGGGAAGAAATGATTCGTCAGCTTCGTTCGGATGCTCTCAGGTCCTAGAGATGACTGAATAATACTGACGGAGAGAGACCAGCAAAGGACCGACTCAGTATTCTACGTCGGTGAAAGAGTCACATTGGAGTCGATTCGGTCTCTGAACGAGTGAGTCGATCGTTTTCGTATATCACTTCAGTCTCGCTGATTTTGGTGTCTGGATCGTTTGATTCGTTAGGATGCAGCGAAGGATTGGATCTACTCCGCGGTTCGCTTATTTTGGGCCCAGTTCGTCTCGGAAATGTCAACTTGTCATTGGTCAGTGATAAATTCCACCGGAGAGCACACGGCGTGGAGATAGCACACCGCACAACCCTTCTTTGCTAGGTCGGCCAAGTCCTGCTGATGAATTCAATAACGAATCTTCTTGTGTTGAGTTGTCGAAGTTTGGGCTGACGTTCAATGAATCCGTCTTGGTGAATGTTTCCACGATAATCGATATCGCGTCGTCGTCCGGATTGTCGACGGGGACTTCTCCCCTTGTAGTAGCGGCAGAAGCAGTTTTATATGTGGTAGTAGTTGTAATAATAGTCGTACATGAAGTTCGCCGAATCGTCGAGCACGCGACGAGGCCAGCACTGACAAAGCGGGGATGTACCCTCCAAGCAAGAAAAATACGTGAAAATTGTGCACGTCACCCTCATCGTATGAAGCGAGGGGAGCGGTGCGGAGCCGCCATAGGCTGAGGCGACACTAGAATTTGGAATCGGAGAATTTTCAATGTTCGATTTGCGTTCTTCTGCTTAATCATCTGTTCTTCTTCTTCTTCTTTTAATCGCTGTGGGGTGAGGCGCGAACTGCAACAACTCAGTCGCTCTCTGGAACAACTCAGTGTCTCAGTCGCTGCTATCGAAAACCACCAACCCTGGCTCCGATAGCTCAGTAGCCACTGCGAATGGAAAGGATAGTCTATGAGAAATACATCGTCGAGTGGAGCGCTGCCGGAAAGAAGTTGAGCCGTAAAGATCGTCATGAGTTTTGGGACTTTGGAGCCTTACCTGTCTCCCCCGTAGCCACCGTGAGGTGCGTAACCTCCCTGCTGGCCTCCGTATCCTCCGCCGTAGCCGCCACCTTGATGTCCTCCGTAGCTTCTGGGCTGGCCGTAGCTGCCTCCGCCGTATCCGCCACCACCTCCGCCTCCGTAACCCCCTTGTTGCTGGCCATAGCCGCCTCCGTAAGAGCCGCGACCGCCGAAATCTTCTCGACCACCGTCGCCGCCGCCGCCACCGCCACGGAAACCTCCACGGCCGCGGTTGTTGCGACGTCCACGATACGGTGCGACTTTCAGAGTCATGCCGTTGAGCTCCTGACCGTCCATTTGGGCTACGGCGTCCGATGCGTTTTGATTGTCGTCAAAATCAACGAACGCAAAACCCGGAGGATTCTGGGCTACCCAGACATTGGTGAGGCGTCCGTATTTTGAGAAAACGCTCTCCAGATCTTCCTTCTGGATGCTCTCGTTGATTCCACCCACGAAGATACGATTCTGGTTCTGCTGGTCGCGAGATTGATAACCTCCACCGCCACCGCCACCACCTCCGCCACCGTAGCGGGGTCCACCTGCCTCACGCATGTTATCACCGTAGGAATCCTGAGGAAGAATTCGTCGTTTTTAGTCGGGCGTTCCCTTGATCGTCCCGCCTCGAGACTCGAGGACGAAATTCGCTTTTGTTGACAAACGACCTCGGACCGCATGATACGATTGACCGGAGAGCGGTCGTCGATGCTGCCATTGAGAGACTCGCGACTTTCCCTGAAGCTCAGAACTGATATCGCCGCCCAGAAATACAGAGGCCCGCCCAAGTTTTATGGGACCGCTAATTTTTTCGCCACCGGAGAGGTTTCTCGAACGGTAACCAAGCCTATGCGTGAGGAGTTCTCCAAGTTGGGCGCACGAGGAGTGTGGAATACCCACCGGTGCGGAGCGACCGCTCAACTGGGCCACAGAAGCCCGATCGCGAAGTCGGTGAATGTCCACATCACGACGAGCAAGCTCCACGCCGGCCGCGGCTTCTACGCCATCATGCGGCATCCTTAACCCTAACCAGTTTTCTCACGAGCGAATTCGATCTCCCGCACCACGCTACGCGACTCGCTAGGATCTCTTCACTAAAGCACCGACAACTTGAGGAAATTAAGAGGAACTTCTATCGAGATTCTCTCGAAACTTCATTCAAACCGACGCATGAGCTCGGCAAGCCATCCGACGCCGATCCATGCGTTCAAAAAGCGATAAGACCCGTGTATTTGGCAAGCGATTCGTCGCAGTTCCCTGCCTGTGATGCATCACGTGTTGCCGAAAAAACGAATTTCGCACGACATATTCTTTTCCAGAGTTTCCGCATTCGACTGGAAAACGAGTCGACAGAACCAAGCTCCGCGAACGAAAACCTCGAAAAACCTACCATTGGAAGTTGAATAATCAAACTCGATGAAGTTGCGACCGCTTACAATCAATCAAGCGTCCGACGAGGACCGCAGAAACGCTATGGTATAGGCTTGCTGTCCCAACGAACGACAACGAACGCACAGGAATGGCAACCTATTGTATCCTGAAGTTAACTTTGTTCATCAGCGGCTGCAGACGAATCTCCGCCAAGAGCTGATGACGATGATCTTTGCTTGGGAACAACGTACAGAGAATTCAAATTCTTTTCCACTCAACTCTTCGGTGCGTCAAGTGTTCCCTAGGATTTCATCTCGATGCTGATCCTCGTAGCTTTCACCGATTCCGCTAATTGAAAAATTTGAGAAATAGGAAGTCCTATCGGGCGGTATGAGGAGTGAGACGATCCCGCGGCAGTCTGGCGCCTAAATATCATGAATTCTGTACGAGGGCGCGCGCCACAGTGCAAGCGTTCCGATCGGCTGCCGCTGAGAAGCCCGGCAAACGAGTCATGCTCCCCTCGAAGATTCATGCATTTGCCCAGAACCTAGAATCTGGATGGATTCATTTGATATCTCAGTCGATTGCGGAGAAACTGAGGCGAATCTGAATAACCTTACGATACCGCTGTGTTTCTCCCGATTAAAAGCAGAGCCGACTACCAGTATGTACTGACAATGAGCAGGACCGCCTACGGTTTGGCTTGAGCGACCCCTCTATCCAGGCATCGACGTTCCTGGCCGCAGAGTCCGATTAATTCCGGATTTCGCATTGGGACTGCCTGACTTGAGGACCCGAAAACAGCCTCTGTTTTTGACCGGATCTGCTCATCACCTTAGCTACTGGACCGAGTCTCTACCGCACATTCCCAGAACTGTTTCCGCCACTCGGCCCCTGGACATCAGAGCACATCTAAATTTAGGTAACCGGGAGTTGTGGTAATCCAGTGCGCCTGTTGCCATGAAATCCTCTATGGAGGAGTCTACCGATGAGCAAGTTGGAAATACGGGACGAACCCCCGCGCGTTACCGGAACACTGAAGTTGTACGCTCCTCCAGCGAGCGCATGATCGCGTTCAGTTTGCGCCCTCGCAATTCTGAACTATTGGCAGCGAGCCTACAGGATCCAGGACCACCCGAACTATCACACCGCTTCCCAGGTTTTCCACGAGTGGTCTTATCGGACACCTATTACTGTTGGCTACGGAGAAAGATTCCACCACTCATGCTCGATGCTCGGAGAGCGAAGGTCATGACCGATTCTAGTCGGTAGTTTGGAGCATAATTCGAACATCATGAATCGGAGGGCTCACCATTGCAGCGGACGTCCGCATCCCGAAGTCGGAAGCGTCCAAGGTTTCTCGGATATCGCGGATTTCTGCTTCGCGTTGCATGAGTGGCTCCACGCACTTGTTGAAGTGCTTGTCGGAGGCCAAAACCGTCCAGAGAATCCGAGATGACGCTCATCAGTTGTTGGAAGAGATGAGGAAGAGACTGAGCTTGAACGTGATCTGTCGCTCTCAAATGAGCGGTGGGAAGGTCCGAATCCAGGCGTCAAACCTCTCGACGGCGCGGCATAGGCTTCTAGGACGAGCCTCTCCCTTTCGATTCGAGATGAGGAGGCTGTGATCGATCGTATCAGAAGTCCTCGTTGTGCCGAAATACACATATGCGGAGTCCACTTTGTCATTGATGAATGTAACCCATAGATGGGTCAATTCACCAAGCTGAGCCGCAGTGGACTTTCCTCAAGTGAACCCATGTGGGTGAGGGTGACAGAGTCGACGGGCGACTGAGGTGTCAACTATGTGATCAAAGATGAGTTTTTCCAACATGATGCACAGGATCGAATATCGGACAACGGGCCTGTAGTTTTCGACTTGAGAGCGGCTCCCTACCTCGCAGACGGGGTAAACCGTGGATATATGGGGGAACGAGGTTACGACTGCATCCTCATATGAGCGAAATAGGATCAGTGCTCGATCAAGCGGTGCACTCGGCTCCTGAGCGAGCATTCTGACGGCGATAGGAAGAATATTGTCCAATGTATGGAAGGATTTCGATGACAGTGAGCGAAGCGTATCGGGGACGAGTCCGCTGGTTACCTGCAGTGAGCCACAGATTATTTTTGAGGCGTGGTGGCCAAAGGTTGGGGTTGACGGGTGAGCCAGGTCCACGGACTCAGATGAGAAAAATTCCCCGAACACATCATTCATGCAGAGATCACGGATAGGCTGATCATCCGCAGGGAGCAGGGCCGCGATGGGGTCCCGGCCTCTTAGACACCTGCCAGCAAACCGGAAGAGGGCCCTCGAGTCTCTGAAGTCAAGACCTGCCCTCCCGAGGTGACGTAGCCGTGATGGAGCTTTCCCAAGTTCTACAGTACGACCAGGATTTTACCAGATAGCTGCGCATCTCTCGCAGATGCTGAACATGGGTCCTGGGTCGAGACAGTTTCTCTTAGCGGTGTCGTCGGAACGGGAGAAGAGCTCTACAAATTAATTACCAAAGGAGGTCAACAAAACGATTGTAGGTGCATGAAGTAAACTGTTCGACAGTCCATGGAGAACAAGCGCCAATCTAATCGATACGAGAAAGAACGATTGAGTGCAAATCTGCCCGATTGTAGTCTCGAGTCTCGACTCCCCGAAGCGCTCTTTGCGGACCCGACGGGGGATCGGATATGGAGAGATCAGAAAGAATGCCGGTCGAATGGGTTGAGACAAGGCAAACTGACTAAGCTTTTCCCCGCAGAACGGGTGATCTCAGTGCTCAGTTGCGTTAGACCATTCTCGACACTGACGTTCACGAAGAGGGCCTCCTCGCTATCACAGGCGAGCTGGGGCAGGTTGGCCCAATCAATATCAAGGAGGTTGAAGTCTCTAACGAGTATGACGGTATGAGAAAAGTCATCGGCCGAGTCTATCAAATGACACAGTTTCTCTAGTCTGTCTCTACTGGGTGAACAAGGTCCGCCATCAGACACATAGGAGCGCATGGGACGTGGCTTAACCGTCTGTGAGCAGAAATGAAGGATAAGCGTTTCCAATAGAATATCATATCCCTGTGGTCCTGGTGCCGAGAATATTCAGTTTTACTCACACACCCCATCTCTAAAAAGTCCATTACTAACACACCTGAAGATCCGATAGAGAGGCCCTTGGAGGTGGGCTCCTGACTCGAAAAGGGGTCACCTAGTCAGGACTCAGTGATGAGGACGACATCAGTAGAAAACATTGCGCAGAAGAGAAACTAGGAGCAGCAGGTTTCCGGCTTCCAGGAGGTTTGGGCGCTCGAGTACGAGCACGATTTCGCCGGAACTCCCAGTCTGTCATCGTGGAGTGGCGCATTCTGAGAAGGGGAGTCCAGGGAGGTCTCGAAGGCAGTGTTGGAAGAAAGGTCTTTCTTCGGTACCGCCTTCTGCCCGGATCGGAAATCGGAGCATATTGCCTCGGTCGGATCAAGATCTTGCCCCGGCTTAAAGCAGGCATACCGCTCCAGAGTGAAGTCATCAATGACCACGATAGAGCGATGGAAGCGATACCGAAAGTTCAAATCGAAACATGAGGGGAGATGCTGTCACAGTTGAAGGTGAAGCCCAAACCATCGATCTGCGACGAAAAATGATACAGGTACATGGGTATGGGCACCGCCGATCATTTTCTCGCTCCATTCAAGAGCCGCGGTAATCGCGTAGATTCATATCCGCTCATCATATAGAGGTTGCTGGCCAAGATTGGATCTGAGACCCAATGGAACGAGGAGCTCGCATACAGCGTTGAGAGGCACGTCCGAGTACACAAGACGAGGTTTCCGCGATCACGGAAGGGGGCCACACTCATTCCTAGCTCCGATCTCCTCGATGAGCTATGCGGAGCTGAGCTGAGGTCTTCAGAATCACTGCAGGCCACCATCTTTGATTGCTGAGCTTCCTGGGAATAGAAGCTTCGGAATCCTTATTGGTGTGCCGGAGGAATCGATATAAATCCTGATCGAAAGCTTCATTTGTACCTGCTCTCCGTTACCTAAGCAGCAAGCCTACTCCGACCGTGCTAGCAGAGCCTCCAGAGGGTGGCGGAAGGTCGAATATAGGCGGGATTCGAAGTCTCGGAGCGGGCACGAAACGCAGTGACTAAAGACGGGATCAGTTGCTCGCAGCCGACATCGGAGGAAGTATGTCGTACACCGTCGTGGAAACCAAGGTGAGGTCCCTGGCATTCAAGGAGATCTCTAAATAGGGGGAAATCCGTTCATCGTGACTGGCACTTTCGAGAATCGTCCTGCTTCGGGACTCAGCTTCGTTTGCTTGCGGCGCGGTTCTGATCGGAGTCCGGCTCGTTTCATCCTGAGGGAATGGCGGATCTGTGAGCATTCGCGGAAGAGTATCCGGAAGGGTGTTCGTGAGAATATCTTAAGGGGTAGACAGAAGATATCGCCTCTTCCAGAGCCCTGGCCTCGCCTATCCGTGGGATCGAGGGAGGGGCCCAGAAGCTGATTTCCAGTGCTAATCCCTCGACCAGAACTCAACGTAGAGGTGGTATTCCGAAGAACGAAGTCGCTTTTGAGGTCGGAGGGCCCAGTTCGTTATTATTATCACGTCAATATTGTTCCGTTGGAGGTCAATGTATGATTGGTATTCTCCTTGAAAGGGGGCCCTGCCTGATGGAGCGGACACGGATCATCATGATTCCGCATCTGTTGCCTCCTCCTTATCTCGCCAGGGAGTTTCTGACCGCTTTTCCAATTCTTTTCGAACCCGGATCGTACTACATATGCTTTCGTTCGAATGCTCCCGCTCCATCAGCTTCCATCGGGCGCGTGGTTGGGCCTGATCCTTAGCGGGGGATTGTTCCCTGACTAGCGTCGGAATTTCGGTGGGAATCGTTCGGGGCGGGGCTGATTCGAGCTGAGCGCGATCGCTGCTCTGTCGGACGATACCCTCAACCTCTGGTCGTTTCCAGGCCGACCTCGGAGAGAAGCTGAGCTCCGCAGGGGATCAACTTGTGGTCATCGATTTTGGAGCTGTGTGGTGCGGTCCCTGCAAAGACTGCGAGCCGACCTTCAAGGTGTGACAGAGGGGGGAACTTATCTCCGGATCGAATTCTAGAGGAACTGCGCGAATCAAATCAGTCAACATTCTCATTCCGATGGTGATGGAATATTTCAGCGCTTGGCGGATAAGTACTCGGGTGAGGTCATGTTTCTCAAAGTTGATGTCGACGATAATGACGAAGCGGCGGCAGAATATGACATTTCGAATCTGCCGACTTTCCTCTTCATACGCGGGTGAGTCAATACACCCCCAGAGAAGGCACAAACGTTTTAAGCCCGATTCTTCCAAGGCCAAATGAGCAGGTGATCGAGAGAAGGCTCTGAGCGAGAGAACTCTCAGATATCGCGATAGCAGAATCGCGGAAGTATCTCAATATACCCACAGAGCACAAATATTTTTGATCACATTTGATTGTTCGACCCTTTTCTCAGGGGTCAAGTCCTGCAGCGCCTGACTGGATTCATGACTTATGATAAGTTGCACGAAGCCGTTGAGGCGCACAAATAGCACCCCGTTCCCTCGGATCCGAGAACAGGTAAATCTGCGACGATGAAACCTGGGAAAATGTGAGGGCAAAAATCCGTATCAGGGAGAAGCTCGGCCGTGTTCCTCATCTCTTGCCCTACACTCATCAGGCTGCTTCAGGATGTCTTGTCACTTGGCTGACCATCAGGTCTCGGGGGGTTCACGCTAGGAAGCTTCATATCGTCTCCGATTCACCATCGATGGCCTGCACGTCCCTCTTTACCCTCTCCTCCCCTCACCGACTGGCAACTTAGCGTTTGGATCACGATCTAGAGCTCGTAAAGTTCTCGTAGAGCTCGGAGATGGTGTACACGTTGGTCAACGAGAAAGTAAGTCTACTTCTGAGCGTGAACTGCGATTACCTCGTGGATTCTCTGACCGGGCGCTCACAACTCATGAGTCTGAAATTTATGAGAGCACGGTAGGAAATTAGGTGTGTGTGATTTCCAGGATGAATTCAATGACAAGATCAGAACTGCGGGTGACAAACTCGTGGTGGTCGACTTTTTCGCCACGTGGTGTGGTCCATGCAAACAGGCTGAACCCATATTTAAGGTGAGTTGAAATCTCTCAAGCGATATGCTTCATGAGATCGAGATCCACGTTCATCCACGCTCGGGCAACAGATGTCCCATGTCGGAGGAATGGATCCGTGGCAAGCGGATACGCGAGTTGTCTCCTCATTCTCATTCGACTGTTCGGGTTGGTCTGCGGTGCGTTATCAAAATCCGCTCCGCATGGGGAACTTCGCAGTCGTATACGGGATATTATTCAGTGGTCTCTCATCGGGAACTGTCACGAGGAGGATTTTGAGTGCTCTGCAGGGTATGAATGCACGATCGGTCGAATTAATGGGAATCTATTCCTAGCTCGTATCGGAAGGCTGCATAATTTCGCTCCATTCTTCGAGCAAATGATTCTTGGGCGTCGATCGATAATAAATGATTTCCCATGCACCACTCGATCTCTTAAACACGCCCAGCTTCAATCAAGCTCGTTCTCTATATCTGAATCCCACTTCAGAATCAGGAGCGGGTTCTGTAGTTGAGGAAACCTCTCAAGAATCTCATGTGGAAATTCCAGAGGATCTCGGAGCAGTACAGCGACGTGATTTTCCTCAAGGTCGATGTGGACGAGAACGAAGATGCTGCCACCGAGTACGAAATCGCTTCCTTGCCGACATTCATTTTTTTCAAAAACGGTGCAGCGGTCGACACCTTGATGGGAGCCCTGACTTCAGATAAGCTCACCGAAGCCATCGACAGGAACAAATAGGAGCACTCCTTAGCGAACCATGATCCGCGCGGTGACCGGAATACGCCACCAATGTCCGTGCTTCTGATGAGACTGTGTACCCCTCAGGATATAACTGAGTTTCTAATTGAGCGTGAAAGATACGAGAAAGTGTAAGAAGCGCGAGCAAGAGTGGCCGGTATGCCGCTCCTCAACCCGTCACTTCAGGACGCGCAGCGTGCCGCGTCTTGTACCGATTCGGATTCATCGAAACACGTCTGAGTTTTCAATGCGCGGGTGTACTCCTCCGGGTGCCACCTAGCGAAAGAATTCCTACGCATATATGCATCCAGGGAGGGATATTCCTGCCGGGAGTTGCTTTCACTTGCCGCTAGCAGCTCAAAACATAGATTTCTATCAAGCTAAAAATGTGCACGCAAGCGAATCCACTCATGCAGTACATTGTATTGTGAAACCCTCAATAAACTCATCACTTCATCACTCATGGCGTCGCCTGGTTACTGGTTACTGAACGCGGATTTCTCGATGGGTGAGGGCTGA